CAGCAAGTACAAACTGCTGAAAATATAACGAAAAAATACAAACCTAAGGGCAGCTCCTACTACATCCGCGGATGCATGTTAGAAGTATTGGATCCTGTCAAATACCTCAGTGGAGGATGGCCATCCACAAGAGCCTAAGATGGAATGGCACTGCATATTGACACTATCAGAAAGAAAGCAAACTCCACCAGAGCTTTCATCCACGGTATATCTTGAGGCCACAACGAAATTTACAGTACAGCACTTCCCTCGGAAAAGCAAGGCCACACGCTTCTTAATGCTCGTAGGACCCTTACTGGATTATGCATGTATCGTATGGGATCCGCATACAGCTCTAACATCCAGAAGCTAGCAGCAGTACAAACTACAAAGACATTTGGCTCGATTTGATTTGAATAACTACTTGCAAACTAGAAAGAGAAACATAAGTTCTAGAGATTTTCATTTGGATATTTTTGGAGGAACGCCTAGCTAGAAACAAAGCTGTAATGGTAAACAGGATGAGTGTAGCTATCCAACATCTAGTCTTCATCCACTCAAGTCTGCAGTCAAGGGAAACACTTACAGATGCTTGGTGCCACATGCTAGAACAACAGTCTGTCTTCCCAGACCGTATCAGAATCTAGAACAACTCGCAGCAGAGAGGTGTACAATATTTCACTGAAGGTTTTATAGTATTGATAGACCTGAGAGACGTTGTAACTTCTGTAATAACAATGAACATGGTGATGAGTTTCATTATTTATTCAAGTGTCCTTTTTTTAAGAATGAAAGATAGAAATTTAATTAATTTATACCTAAAAATGTTTACATGAACCCAAACACAATATCTTTTTATGATTTGATGAATACTTCCGATATATATGAAACTATAAAGGTTTAGCTAAGTTTTGTAAAACTGTTCTTAAAACATTTAGTGCCTGAACTTCCTACAATGTCAACTTTAACTAATTTTTTTTTTTTACTGTCCATATCAAAGATCTTTTTCTTGTTCATCATGTTAACTGTTCACATGTTTACTTGTTCAATTGTTAAACTCTTATTGTACTAACATACCCCATGTGGGGGCTATTTAGTGAAAAAAAGTTTTAAAGTTTCAAAGAAAAAGTGAAAGCGTGGGGGTATATAGTGATCGGGTTGTCCGTCCGTTGGTCTGTCTATCTGTACATTCGTCTCTTATGCTTTGGGGTACCTATCTCTTATCCGCAACTCCTCTTATACACGCCAAATTCACAAAAATAGCTAAACATAGTTTCACAGTCGATAAACTAGGTTTATCGGTTGTAAACTATAGTTTACATGCTGTAAACTAATAGTTAACAACATTAATCTACATTTTACATCTGTAAACCGTAGTAAACGCGATAATCTATGTTTCAGAACCGTAAATGATTGTTTTCAGTTCAATCAATTGATTGCAAAACATAGATTTAATAATATCTGGTAAATAAAGTTTCGCGATTTGTAAAATTTTAACTATAGTTAACGATTTTAAATTATAATAGTTTACAGACGTGAATCTATGTTTAACAACAAAATCTATTGATAACGTTTTATTACAGACAGATAAACTTTGATTAGCTGCAGATCTGTTGCGTTATGGTTTTATATATTTGTCTTTGACCATAACGCTACAGTTCCGTTTGTAAAAAAGACACTCGATAATTTATCAACTGTGAAACTATTTTTAGCGCATTTTTGTGAATTTGGCCTGCAATATCCAACTTCTATTTTACATTAACTACCTTTCAATTCCTAATTCTAGGTACATTACTTAACTAATCTGTATATTTTATCCATCTTCCTACCCTTTATAAGTCGTCTCTACAAGTGATAAACTCGCTTGATTAAAATTATTTGTTAGATTGCTGACTTCAGGCGAGTTTATTAAACATGACATTTCTAATTATAAAAGATTTGTTTTCCTGTGAACATGTATTGTGTATTAATTTCTTTCTTTGATTTTAGCCCAGCTGTAAGTACAGGTCTTACATATGTAATATTTGCTTACTAATTATTGTATTGGTCTTCTGAAAAAAAAAATCGTCCTTATATATACGTACTTGTAGTTTCTAATCCCTATTGTAGTTTAAACCTTTCCCTGAGAGCCATGATCTGAGCTTTTGTCTTGCCACTTTTGAAAAAAAAATCTTAAGTATTAGCATTTATAAATTATAGTTAACAACCGTTAAATATAGTTTTACAGATGAAACTATAATTAACGAATTGTTAACTATAGTTCACGGTTTGTTAACTATAGTTTACAGTCGCTAAACCTAGTTTATCAACTGTGAAACTATGTTTAGCTCATTTTTGTGAATTTGGCCTGCAATTGTGCAACTTCTATTTTACATTTAGATCGGACATTTTGGGGGTTTCCCAGAGCAAAATATGGACAAGGCCATTATCCCTACCATATTAAAGGTATGCATCTCTCATCTGCAACTCCTCCTTTATCACTAAATAAGATTTAATGAGACTTTCAAAGACTCTTTATTACATAATGGCATTGTGCACCTCTTATTTTACTATTTGATCTGACACTTATTAACATGACATTTCTAATTTGGAAAAGATTTGTTTTCCTGTGAACATGTACTGTGTATTAATTTCTTTCTTTGATTTTAGCCCAGCTGTAAGTACAGGTCTTAATATTTGCTTACTAATTATTGTACTGGTCTTCTGGAAAAAAAAAATCGTCCTTATATATACGTACTTGTAGTTTCTAATCCCCTATTGTAGTTTAAACCTATCCCTGAGAGCCATGATCTGAGCTTTTGTCTTGCCACTTTTGAAAAAAAAATCTTAAGTACTACGTATATATAATGCATACAACCAGAGACCTATATACTAGTATATAGGTCCCTGGTGCAACCTCTGCGAAGAAAATGAACGAAAACTGATGGTGGACCGACTGACAGGCAGCAGCAAAGCAATATGCATGCCCTCCCTTTTTCGAAGGGACATAACAAACTCTTTTAATTCTTTGTAGATCTATCACATGTTTCGTGTTGTGTGGTAATTAGACATTCTAGTTTCGGGACAAAACTAACTACATAGATGTACAATGGGCACTGAACTCACTATATGAACACATACATGTATAATGGCAAAGTTCATGTTTTGCTCTTGGAGACCGGAAATAAGTGTCTGATCAAAAAGCAATTAAAATAGAAGGTGCACAATGGCATTATGTAATAAAGAATCTGTGAATGTCTCAATAAATTTTATTCAGTGGTTAAGGAGGAGTTGCAGATAATATGGATAGACATCCCAATTATTATATACCCTCCCACTTATCAAGTAGTGGGGGGGGGTTATAACATTCTGCTAGTATGTGATCCTTCAACTAAGCAACCAATTTAAAATTGCTTTCGACACTTTTCTAAAGATAAAAAAAAAATCATATATGATTGAGCGTGTATTTTTATTTTATAACAAATACACAACATTATTCAATAAATAAAAATAACAACAATTGAATAAATAGTTTTCCAATAAATAATTGTGTTACACCGTCAATATATATATAGATGTCCAATCTGTGGTCACTACATGTAACACGGTATAAATTGATGGGAATATTGAAGTAAGTTCAATAAGTGTTATGCATTTAAAGTTCTCCACTTGTTTCGCAAGTCCTCTGTTGTTCTAAAACTTGCAAACTTGTAAGATCGAAGGATGGTCTTCCAACTGTACCCAAACTGCTTGACACCTTTTAGAAGCCTTCTTTCTTCACACATTGAAAATGGTAATTTCCTTAAGCTCCCTGTGGTCTTTGGAATTTCTGTTGATTTCTAAAAAATCATCCCATTCAATGTATTTTTAGCTCTGTCAATCAAGTCAAAAGGCAAGTACATGTAACAGTTTGTTCAGTCTTTCAACTTTTTAAGCAAAAGTCATCTTTACTAATTATACTTATTAATATGTCAAATATCGCTAAAACATTTTATTATTGAATATTGTTCCTATTTTTTGTTTTAAAAACACCAAATAAGTGCCCAATTGGGTGAATTTGCTACAACACTCACCTGAGTCACTTTGGTCCATTCTTTAAAAAGTTTAACTCTTTAATTTCAAAATTTTTGACATCAAGTTTTGGACCAAAAGTTACCCCCAAAGGACCAATTAATTCTGCACAACCCTGAACACAGGGTAGCCATAATAAAAGCAGAGGTCCATGGGTTACAACACTCACCTGAGTCAATATGGCCCCATCAGCCGATAACTTCTCCTATATATTCGTATGTAAAAATTTGATTGTTGGTGTTAGCCATCCCCACCAAGGCCCCATCCTACCACCAGGGGTTAAAATTTGGACAAACATGAATCTTTACTATTTGTGGATGTGTCCATATCAATACAACTAATTGTGGTTTGTTGTTGTTCTTGAGAAGAAAATTTGTAAAGATTTGTCCCATATATTCCTAAGTAAAAATTTGACCTCCCCTCCCTTCCTCCTACTGTGGCCTCACTCTACCCATGGGAGGTCATAATCTGAACAAACTCTTTATCTAAACTATCTGAGGGTGACTTGTTTTTTAGAACAAGATTTTAGAGGATTTTTTTCGTTTATTCTTATATCTTTCACCCTACATTAGTACCAACCTATAAGTACCACAGAGGGTCATGATTTGAACAAATTTGAGTCTACACTATCTGAGGATGCTTCTATATCGATATCACTGGTCATGGCTTTGTTGTTCTTGAGAAGATTTTTGATTTCATTTGAACACCCCTGGCCCTCTTGTGGCCCAACCTAACCCTGTGGATCATAAATACAATAATCTACACTACCTGGGGATGCTTCCATATGATTATGGCTAATTTTTGGCTTGAGAAGAAAATTTTTAAAGATTTTTTCCTATATATCTCTACAGTAAAATTGATCTTTCATTGTTCCCCCACCCTTTCCCTAGGGGGTCATATCTTGAACAAAGTTGATGATTATAATGTACATGTATTATTTAATGGAGGTTTCATAAACATTTCAATTTTCAGTCCTAATGATTTTTAAAAGATGGCACTAAATTTTCACCAATTTTTAATTGTCTCCCCTTGAGGACTAGCCTTGATTTGAACAAACTTGAATCCCTTTCATCCAAAGATACTTTGCAGCAAGTTTGGTTGAAATTGTCCCGATGTTTCTTGAGAAAAAGTCAACTTTTTTAAAAGTTTACAGACAGATGGACAGGTTAGCTAAAACCCTGATTTTCTACATACTAAGGAGCAGTGTCACGATGGCTTAAAGCAAAGCCAAGGGTGGGTTTTTTTTTTTAATCCTCTCACTTCCCTATCGCAATCAAATAAATTGTGCAGGACAAGGAAAGGTTAATAGATTTTAAATGCAGTGTAAAGGGGGCCTTACTGATATTCTTTTGTGTTTTTCCATTAAATCCACAGCAGTTCTGGAAGGATGAAATTTGTAAGTTGCAAGAATTTGTCCCCAAAATTTTCCTATCTTGTTTACTCCTTCGAGCAAGTTATTGACCTCTTCATCACTGTAAGGCACCCTGAGTCTCCTTTTTCTTACCGGCTTTAGAGTCTGTACAATACTGTTTCTGCTCTCAATTGTATCTGGAGCTGACACCTATTAACAAAATAATGTGAAATCTAAGATTTCCATGGGTCATGGCAGGTAGGCATATGTGTATCTAGAATGTTTCCTCTCATTCTCTCAAACATAAATCACCTAGTGTCTTATTTACATGTTGATCCACTACAATATCATTCAAAATAAAAAGCAGAAAAAAAAATGTAATTTGTAGAGTGTGCTAAAATTTCAAACATCTGCCATGAGCAGTTGCTGAGAAATTGTGACAGAAAGATAATACAGACAGATAAACAGGAAGATGACATCAGATTTTTATTGATCAAAAACTTTTTGATAGGAATTTAATTGTCAATTATTATTTCCTAGTTTTCTGATTAATTCAACATACCTCTTGCTCAGATTCACTGCTGAAATCATACAATGATTTGTCAGTTGTGGGAGGATGCTGTGTATTGTTATTGTAAATGGGCCTTTCTCTCTGATGATCCTGTTTATTGTTATTGTAGATGGGCCTTTCTCTCTGCTGCTGTTTGACTTTCTGTATATAACTTCTCTCTACATTGCGTACCTGGCGATGTACCTGACAGGTGTAAGGGTTAGTCTCCAGTACAATGTTGATTGTTCGGCTGTTCAGCTGTGTGTCATCACTTTCTCCAGTTCCAGTACACCCTGGAAGTTCAATTTTCTTCTTTGTTTATGCAAGAGGCCCATAGACCTTAACAGTCACTAAATATTGATAAATTCAACCTAATTTTCTTTCTTATATATATTAATTTATTACATATCCATTTGAAAAAGAGTTTGACCCTTCATTTGAACAAATTCATACATCTCCTGCTAAAGATGCTTTGATACTGAATTGACATTTCTTGGGAATATCAAAGATGCATTGAAGTTTATAGATACAACATGGCTCTCTCAATAATGACAGCTAGATTGAAGAGATCTTACATGCAAAACAAAATGTGCAGTCAAACACAATACCTCTGAATTTTTTCTGAGGTTGAAGACTTCTTAATGAAATTAAATTTATGCACTTTAATAGTATGATACATTTCACTTACTAACCTATGCAGCTCATCTCTAATCTGGAATTTTTGGAGTGTAGTATTTGTCTTCTACATTCATTTCCTGCAAGTAAAACAGTTTTAATTTTTTTTTTTCCTCTATAATTTGCAATACAGATTGAAATACCTCAGAATGTAGAGTTTTGTGCCTGGGGCAGTTAATAGGGATTTTACGGTACCGGGTATATGCTTTTACCTGATGTTCTGTTTTGCTTTAAACTAGATAGAGTACTTCGGATTGATTTGACACTAAATGAAGGAGTTGTAGGAAAATTTCTTCTGCAGTTGCTTGTATTTCTCGGGGTGTGCTGTGAAGTGTGGTACTCAGGTGTTTTATAAGCCTGATGAATTGATCTTTCGACTGGAAACACAGAAATCTGTCTCAAAGGTGTTGCCTGTGGGTTCAACCTTCCATCTAAAGATAAATCACTATCAGATTATTTCTCCTCCACTTCAAATATATGAGGTTGGTTAAATTGTAAGTTTAAGTACACATATTCAAAATATCTATTTCATTTCTTTCCTGTGTAAAAGCAAGATGGAAAATTAGAAATAAATTGTACTGAAATTTTAATAAAACATTCCATTGTGCTGTTAGATCCAACTTTGCTAGATTCGAATGGACCTTCTCCCTGATTTTATACCTGTATGATATGCAGCTCCAGATAGAAGTTTACAGTCAAATTCTGACTGAATATCAGAGAATCCAGCATCACTTTCTAAACACGTGTCACCTTGATCCTCAGACAAAAACATAGTCTCAGATTGAACCTGTCTAAAGCACCTAGCTTGCTTCTTTGGTGGGGGACATGTTGGAACTTTGAAAACTCCATCACTCATTGGAATTTTCCCATCAAGTGCATTACAATTAACTTCTTTGACATCAGACATTTTGGTTAAGTCCACATCATAACTTTTTGTAGAAGAGTTTGGTGATAATGATCTAGTATTTGGAAAAGGAATTTTGGGTGTCCTATATTCTGTGTCATCTTTATGGTAATTGTTTGTCTCTGGTTCTGGTCCTATTGTTGTACTTGTGCATTTTTCATGAATTTGCTCCTTTCTTTTGACTGTTGTTTGTTTATCTTGTACACGTGCACTGTGGTCGCTTATAGTCTGGTCACAGTTCTTGAGTCTTTCCTAAATTATTATAAACTATATGTTGGATTATAAACATAACCAATTTATGTATTTAAAGAATATATTGTACTTTTTACTTGAGCAGCAAAGAAACTTATCACCAATATTATAATTACTACAAACCATGACACTGTATTCAACTAAAACTGTCCTAACAGCTAGGACTTTTACACCCTTTAAGTCACTCCCTAAAATTATTTTGAAAATAGTTGGGATTTTCAGGAAATGTTTATTTCCACTCATGCATGTGATTGTTACCTTTTGAAGTTCAGAAATCAAATGCTTTTCAAAAGGAGTTAAACAAAGCTGCTGCTTCCAATCATCTGATATTTGAAATGCAGTGGAATTATTTTTGTTCACGTCTGTGCACACATTCCTGTCAGAACAAAGGAGACTTGGATTCTGAAGTGCCAGTGTTGGTTGTGTATCAAGACAGTCCTGAGTTGTTGGACATTCATTGAAGTTTTTGTTGTACTTCGGGGTGTGGATCATCGTAGGATGATTTCCACTAAGATCTTTCTCTTTTTCTATGGATTTCAGACGATTTGCTAACTCATTCACTTTTTTCAGTATATTTTCTCCTATGATTCTGTGAAAATTAATGGAATAAAAAATCCCATAAAACGCATTAAGAAACTAGCAATTTTCACATTAAAGTTTTCTTATTAGAATTTTTTGGTTAATTGATTATGAAAACAATTAACAAATATAGTTTAAGCTTTATCTTCGCTTATAAATTCAAAATCCATGATGGAATATACTTCTTATGGTTAATTTGGAAATGGAATTATAGGTCATTCTTATTCATGATATATCTTCCTAATGTGCTTTTCACCACACCAGAGTTATAAAAAGGTAAGCAGTTTGAAAGTAATCTACTTTGAGCACTATAAAAAATTAATTTAAGAAGAATAATACCCACTTTTTGTTTGCCATCTCTTGATTCCATT